CGTAATTGAAAAAAAATATATATATATATATATATATATATATATATATATATAAAAAGAAAAAAGGGTATATACATACATAATACTTTATTATAATAATGTGTGGTTGAAAATGAAATTGTTTTAATGACTATCAAACATGGGATTAAAAATCTTCCCGATTTTATTTTTTATTTTTTGTATTTATGTCTTCAAATTATATTTTCTAAACCGAATAATTTGTCGAGGACCAATTCTTGTCCATGACGACGGTCAAAAATTTTTTTAAGAGGGATGGAAATACTTATTTGTCAAATATATTTTTAAGGATTTTTTTATTCTCATTTTTCTCAAAATATATTTTTGTCTCTTCTTTTCAACTCGCATTTTTCAATAAAATAATATTACACGTAAATTCAGAATTTTTCCTTATTTTTTTCACTATACATTCTCCATCAATCTACTATTTCAAAATACAATTTTTCAATTTGATGGGGCTCATATGAGTCTTAAATAAACAAATAAATAATAAATACAAAACTTTGATAAAATAATTTTCCACACTAATGAAATAATTGGATAGAAATCATCATCATAGACATGATATGCTAATTAATTGAAGATTAAAGATGAAATACAATGAAAAAAAAAAAAAAAAAAAGGTTGAGAATATTTGAGAACATAAATATAAAATGAGGAAAAATTAAGGGACGTCATTACAATTAAAATTTAGCATAGGTAACCTTGAAGAATTAAGGGTTTTTTTGAAATTTTTTTTTTTTTTTTTTGAAAATAGATTATGTAATTTTTATTTTTTGAAGAATGTGTGGTTTAAAAAAAAAAGGAAAAATTGAGTTAACTCGTAAAATTATTTGATCCAACTTGATCTGCTTCCATAGGGATCTTAGATGAGTATCTCCTGGGGAGCCGCCGAATCTAATTATCGTCCATGTATGATCCGTACTAGATCTGATCAACTGTTCATGTATTTTTATTACTATGAAATTCATAAATGAAATAGTTAATGATGGGAGTTATCATTATCCTTCTTTTAGTGACAAATCTTGGAATGGGAAACAAAACAGATGTACCAAATTTTTAGAACGTACAACCATCAAACCAAAGACCAAAGCAATGCACGACAGAACAAAAATTTATTTATTTTTACTGTATTTTTCACACTTAGAAGAATAAAATTTCTCATTTGACGTTGAAACAAGATATTCAAGAAGAACATGTTATTCTAGTTCGATACCGTCAAGAATTCAAAAAATAAACTATTAAATTAAATTTGAATAAAAATGATTTTAGAAAAAAATTGAGTTTAAACATGAGCTAAATTTAGTTTAATAACTTAAAACTAAACATCTTTCTATTAACGAAGATTTTAACTTAAATAAGGAAATGTTTATCAGAATTCCTTATTTTATATGTTAGGAACCAACTTACTATCCAAGTAATAGATTGAGGACTAGTGGTGCAAATTTCCTATTCCATAAGCCCAGGTAATTCTTCTGCTAACAAACTTGACTGTTCCATACTAACTTTCAACCCACAAAATTTCCTAAGAAAATGTAGCATTACAAATACAGGAATAAATTTTGACAATAGTACATCAAAATCTCTGAAGAAAAGCACTCGTTTCCCAAGTACGTAGATATATCAAGATACTCGTTATCAAGAGCTTCGTATATAAATGCAATGGTCAACACCGGGTTCTGGGGCAAAATATCCTGCTTCAAGGGGTATGGACAAGTTTCCGCGTATTTTAACCATCAATATGACTTCCCTGTCCCTGGCATCTTCACACCAACTGTTCTGTGGAACACCATATGCAAATTCCTCCAATGTTTGATATTCCTATGGCAGACTGAAATCTCAAAAATTTGACCCGAACCCATCAACCCATCAAAAAATAATTCACGCAATCATAGTTGGGTTTAACGAGCATCAGAAATCTCGATGACTATACAACAACTCTCAGCGACAGAAAAAATAGCCCATAACATTAAACAAATGAAAAAGAAACTAAAATTTTAATAGTGGTACTGTAACTACTATATTTCAAAAATGGATACTCTTGTTTCAGGCAAATACCACATCACATACATCCAACCTTCACTATCCGAAATTCAAACCCAATAATAAAATCCACTCCCATTTGTTACACTGAGATGCCACAATACACTAGGCATCCAAAACAGGAACCACAAGATAGCTGCTAATTCTATTCCATCTCATATACGTCGTCCACCAAAATCTAAAGCGATATTCATACAGCTTAACCATGAAAAAAGGATAAAGAACAGTCACAAAATGGAATTATACGACCAATGGAGGAAAAAAGTAAGCAATGCTTCCGGGAAAGGTATCCCCATTTACTCCGCCAAAGGAAAGATTAGCTCTGAAGTAAACTCAAGTGAATCCCACTCATAATTCCCTATGCCACCAACAATGTGTTCAATTGCTTACTAAAAAGCTCTGCAAGCGCTCCACGTACATCCATCTGAAATATAGGACGGCCATTTAATATGTTGATGCATCACATGACCATTAAATAATCTCATTTGCCAACTAAAGATAAATTTCTTTAATCTTCAGTTTCTCAATTGTCAATACTCAATAACAATGGGTATAAATTGTAATGGTTATATACAAACATTCTGGGAGCCAAGTTTACCTGGTCGCAGCAGACGAGTTTCGTAATAAATGGATAGAAATCTCTGAGGTGATTTTGGAATATCTGGGAGTTCATATCACACATGCCTTTCAGCACCTGAAAGACCATGAAATATTATTATAAGTTGCAACTTGAATCACAATATCAAGAGGAACGTATGAAATGTTTGCGGAAAAGCATAAATAAACCAGTCACATTGCATTTACATTTTTCAACAAGTACTTGCATTTCTGCCAATTTAAGCCCCCGTTTGGCCCCATTTTTTCAAATTAAAATAAAATGGGCGGAATAGTATTTTTTTGAAGATGAGTAGTTGAAAAAGAAGGAAAAAATTTCGATTTACATGTAATATTATTTTATGGAAGATTGTGTGATTGAAAATAGGAGAGAAGTGAAATTTAATTTAATGGGGGGTAAATTTACTCCTAGGATTGTGGAAAACGTCATGAAATAAGAATTTCAAATCTCCAGTCTTCATGGAGTCACGGAAAAGGTAAAGCCTGACAATATTGACATCAAACATGTAACATTGCAACACCTTCATTTCTTTATTTTTATTTTCCTATCTAGAAATTCATTCCACAACTTGCCACCTTCAGTCTACATCCAAAATCTCAATTCAATTTCCCACGCCTGTACAGAAAACCCACTTACTTCTGTTTTTGACAACAATGAAACTAATTATTTTTTTCTCACATCAACAAATCTTTAATATCGTGTTTGACTAAGCAATTGGAACTTTTGACATCCATCTTACAACTAAGGAGCAACATGCAAGTCTAGAATGGCTGACTTCTGTTTTTGACAATAATAAAACTAAGCCCCTGTTTGGCTCGGATTTTAATCGGAGTCAAAGTAAAAAAAAAAAATAATCAATATTAACCATATTTTTCACAGGTCTCACAACTTTTCAACCACACATTTCAAAAACTTTTATCAAAATCTACTAAAAATCTAATTTTAATCCCCACCAAACCTCCTCTAATTATTATTATTATTATTTTTTCTCAAATCACAAATCTTTAATATCTTGTTTAACTTAGCAATTGGAACTTTTGACATCCATCTTACAACAAAGGAGCAACATGCAATTCTAGAATGAGCAAAAGCAGCCATTAGATTTTTCAGAAAATATGTCCCAAAAACGAACTGAAATCACATTGTTCATCTCCTCTTTCAAACTCCTATGCATTTGTCTAGCATCATGCATTCCCTTGTATTTGCTTCATTTCTCTATTAAATATGTGCATGCACAGGTCCCAATGAAACAGGACAAGAAAAGGAAAATAATAAAATATGAATTATTTATGAGCTCCACTTATAGTTTCTGAGAAATTGATATCGATCACTAATTGTTAGTTAGTCTGATGAAACATTGAGTTGATTAATCCTCAGCTGGCTTAATGCAGATAGTCTTCAGATGACCTTATATTTCCAGAAAGAGGATGGTCAGCAAACAGTGTAAAGGTATCCTCTTGCAACCAAAAGGGAACTACTGCAATATGCGAAACCAAAGTGTAGAACAGAAAGGTAAAATGTAACATTTCATATATTTCACACCTTGACAATAATTGGAGACCGTAGTTCTAGAACTCGATGAATATCCATATTAGCGGTATCCTCCATGCTAGATTGAAAATCAGATGCCTCCCTTAGAACCTGTTCACAAAAAGACACAAGCTTTTCTTCAGCTACTCCTTGAATTTTCTCTTCTTTAACATGTTCCTCGTTTTCAATATCAACTGCTGCTGTCGTCTTGTGTAAGATATCCAGATAGATGCATGTTCCAGCTAACTCCTGGCGAAGAAGATTTAGTGGTGGTCTGCCAAGCAAAAACCCAATCATTATAAAAGAGGCATGGGGCTTGGAAGTATCAAACTCAAAATCAAAGAGAAAATATTATAAATTACAAATATGCTGGCCAACCTTTCAGCAGGAATTTGGTGCATCCGCATTCTGAGGTTAGTATATGAGTTGTATGATGAGGCAAACTCTAAGACGGAGAACAAAATGTCCATTATGGTGATCTTCTGTGATGCATTCAACTTGTTCCAGTATTTCTTCTGCAAGTTAGAAATGTATCAACTACAAAATTGTCATCTAGACTTGTATTAACTGAGCGTGGTAGCAAAATGCACTCATAATGTACACTTTAACATCAATTACATTGAGAATTTTCTCATTCCAAGATCAATTTTGAGGCATTTTATTCAGTCTTATATTTATATTGTTAAAAGAAAGAACTTTGTTTCACTATATCCTGAACATGCTGAGATTACTGGGACTGCTGATGTGAAAAATGGGTGAGATAAACGTAAACATATCATAATTTTGTGCAGAAATAGAGACATAACCAGCAAAAATCAATTTTAAAATGCTGAAATGATAAAAATAAAATAGATAAGACAAGTGTAGTAATTAATAGATAAATTTTCGTAAAAGAAATCGATTTGAAGATTACATTGAAGAAGAAACTGATTCATACCTGAATGCTATCAATAGCACCTAAAAGTAATAACTGTGTGATGCATTTGCTCCTAATGGTTCCCAGCATTGGACTCTCCTCCTCTTCTCTGGCATCAGGTTCTGTAGCATCAGGTAACTAGAGAAGGGGAAAAAAATCAAACCCAGAATTCAAATAATGAAACTCGAAAGAAAAAAATTAGTTAGAAAACAATGCACTCTAATGCAGCATTTCTAATATCAATACAATGGCAAAAATGTAGTATTGATACAATCTGTCGCTGGAATAAATATCTTTTGAGAATGAAGAAACAATAGCAACCATCGCTCTTAAATACAAGAGAATGAAAGAGAGCAACAGATCAGGCTTTTTTTAAAACTTATACACACCACCCACACGGTACATCTTTTTCTTAGGTAGGGGCTCTGGAAACTTTCATAGAAAATATTGATTTACTTGAGAGATTTTATCTACACAGAACCTCTTAAGTATTGCAGAACACTAGAAAATTTAGCAGTCTCGGCCCTTTCAAGTTTCTACATTCAAAGACAAGTCTGTATAAATTCCTAGCAATATTAGAATTTTTTATGACTTTCTAACTGCAATCCTCCATTATACAAAGTACTTAGATTTGAGGTCTATAATTTTGTCCCATTTTCAATTAATTAACTGAACTGGCTTTTTAATATTTCTCATTTATAAGCTCACTCACAAACTTCAATATCTACTCTCAACCGTGCTACAGAACTTTGGACTCAATTTCAGTTCCGTTTCCCTGTGAATAAATGGTGACTCCTTTGAGCAAATAGTAATCACCAGTTCAACAGCTCCAAAAAAATCTAGTAAGTTAACACACACACACCTGTTGGGTTGGTTGGACAGCTAGGTGAAGTAAATTAGAGTTGTGGTCCCTCCCTTCCGAAAAAAGGGATAAAATTGTATCGAGTCTTCTTTCTTTACATTAACACCAAAGGGTTCAACACATCCCCAGTTTGTGCTTTCCTTTTCCTTTTTAGTCCAATAGTTCACACGTATCAATTATTATATTATTGACTTGTTCTGTAGGGGCAAAACAGAGCGTTGTTTTAACAGTGAAGAAATAGGAGTTTGGAATCTTCCTTCAAATTTAACTTGTGAGTCAAGCCCAGAAATGTTCTCAATGACCAAAAGAGTAATGTGAAAGATTTCATGAATATGTATTGATAATGTAGTTAACACAGCAAAGGGAAAATGATTCAGTGACACAATTTGAACAATCAAAACCTTAAAAAACATATCAACAAAATAAAAACCAAGTGCTAACCTTGGATGGAGAAGATGGTGACAGAATATCAGGGGTATGGTACTTTGGTTTTGAGGTAAAACTTCTCACAAAAATGTTTTCCATCACATTTCCCATAATTTTTTGACCTATTGTTTGAGTGCGTTGTAGGCCTCCACCATCAGTGGGTTTTGTAGCTCTTCCAGAAGGTGACGGCATGCCTACGAAAGACATTAACTTACGCTTTTATTTCAAATCTTGATAGAATGAATTTACTGTAAGTGCATGTCCGGAACAGGGTACCAGGTAGGACTGGACAGTATAGTAAACAATATTTTCGCTTATTTTTCTTCTACAATACTGTCTGGTACAGTCCAATCCTACCTATCAAACATGTCATACAAGTATCCAAGCAATGATTGCGTAAGTCCATTGCTAACCTTCAGATCCCTCCATATCTGCTCGAAGCCCCATCTCTGGATTATGATCCAGCGAATTGTTATTAATACTGGCATTTGAGGACATTATTCCCACTGTATCCCCATTTTCAAATATGTTATTATGATTATTATCTGATGCGTTACTTCCACTAGATAATGAAGGATTAACACCAAAAGCGGCATCTGAAACTCTTGCGAATATTTTATGATGCTTTGAATTGTCGAAACCCAAATCATTGAGCAGCTCCAGGGGCTGTGTTGTGTATGAAGCATCTCTGGACAGAGTGAACCAAATCATTGTTAATACAAAATACTATAAAATAAAATAGTAAGGCATATATGCTCCTTATGCACCTTATGCTATTCAACAAAGTATTCCAGTCATTGTCGCTAAACTGATGTCCTCCAACTTCAATAAGATGCACCAATGCACCCAAAGATATGGAAACAACCGATTGATCTGTTTTTTTGGCACAATCTAACAGCAAACTGAGCAGTGGAGGCAGCATAAAACACACATCCTATATATAATGAATAATAAATCATCAGAAGATTATTTAAATGTCAGGAATCATGATCTATGCAGCAGTGAAATTCAGCAATTATGATTTTCGAAGTTCTGAAAATTACATGAATTGATCACAAGAGAAAACAGCAAGTAGACAACTTGGCAATAATTACAGCAGCACATCACCATAACTAGATGATCTCAGACAGGCTAAAGCAAGTATTATACTTGGTACAGGAATAGGAAGTTCAGGAAGTCCATTTGGATAGAGGCTATATAAGGAAAACAAATAAACATTAAGTCAACCACTGCTCAGGCAGATACATATTAACATATTTGAAGGAGTTCAAGAAGTGAGAGACATTGACTAAAGAACACTGTTAGACGAATAACATGCGTTATACCTACTATCACTAAAATATTACCAGGAAGGAGAGCTCTTCAAGGGCGAGTTGAAGGAAGAAAAAATACATTATTCATAAGCACATTTTGTTCAATGAACCAAAATATCATATAGTTAAATACAGTGAACCAACATCTGAGTAACACAAACAAACAGAAAATGACTGTATAACCAAGAAAGAAAAAGCTGAAATATTCGCTAAATGCATAGAGAATAGGAGCAGTGAAGAGGGGAAAGAAAGAGTGAACTGGTAGGAAAGAAGCTACATGTTTACTAGTAATGATCAAGATCAACCACTTATGATACCTTGTAAAAAGTGTTGAAAAGGTTGCATAACAACTGGAGAGAGTGAACGCTACTTTCCCGGAGCCACTCATCACCAGAAGAGATAAAATTATCTTTTCCAGCATGTCTAACGTGATCGAAGATGGGAAACAGGACCCGCTGGAAAATATTTTCCCAAAATGATGAGGAGAATTTGCTACCTCTCTCATTTAGCAAATCAAACAAAACCTCAAGTGCACAGTTTCTGACTTCTGCTCTTGGATCCGAAGTCAGGTCAGAAAGACCAGCCAGCATCGGGAACCAATAGTGCTCAGTGACATCACAAGTTTCATCCGCGTGAGTATCAATTGGTTTCAGAGCACCACCTGGTATAAGGCCCTGCAAATGAAAAAAATTAACAAAACAGTGATTGCTTGTATGCCCACGAGAGGTTGTCACAAAAATCCGTTCTTTTGAGCTCGTTCTTATTCATCCAACCACATACATTTTAATACTACTTAAACGAGTACCCACTGCAGTAAAATTAATTAATTCTGAGCAAACTGTTGCAATCTATAGAAGAAGACTGAGAACAGGAAATGATGGACCAAAAAAAAAAAAAAAAAACATAGAATAAGAGTCAAGATCAGTTATAAAAATGAATGCTCAAAAGTCGAAACAAACCTCCGCAAGACGATCCTCGCATATTCGGAGGAGTGCAATAGCCTTTAAACTTATCCGGTGAGAACTCTTATTATTGGCAAATCCAATCAGGCAGTTGACACAATCCATAAAGCAGTCTCCAACAACCTGATCAAAGTGTTCCAAGACAACTGCACCCTCTACCACGTCAGTCAAGGTTTAAACAATCTTCCATAACTATATAAAACATACTTCATGAGAAAGAAACAGAAAAGATTGGTTCTGACCCTGTTCTACATTCTCGAATGCACTTTCAACAATTGGTTCCAAGTCATCATCCGCAGCAGCAGTGAAAATCATAAACACACTTCGCCAGCCAGACTTTATGCTTCCAACTTTAGATTTTATCATCTGTTATCCCTAACAAAGTGTATTAACATACAAAAAACACATAAATATCAACAAACTGAAAGTACATATTGTCACACATACATACTTGAACAATGCAATCCACTATAAGCCTCCGTACAGATTCACTTCGACTGCTTCTCATAAGAATGACAAATGGTTTTAAAATATCGTTCTGGAAAGTGAAGTTCGCAAGTTCTGCACGCTCCAAATACTTCATACCAAGTTGTCGTAGAGAATCAATGGCATACATAGCAACTTTTTCATCGCGATGACTCCCAGCGGAGATAAAATGATTCGCCAGGACAGACCATATTCTGGCCCAAACCTAAAAAATAGATTTGGCTATCTATTAGAATTGAATGTGCGTGTAAATTTATAAAATTCATCGTGTATCACATGTGACAACACGTATGCATCCTCATAATTAAGATCAGTCATTTATAGTTGAGTAACATGTTTCCTCACTCCAATAAAATGTGTCCCTAGTCAATATAAAAGATAAAAGGAACTTTTCAGCATATGCAGCCAGTGCATTGCCAAACATTTTGAAAAGGACTTAAAACAACTTTCTATGCAATTTGTTACAATTGATAAGTGATCTGCAACGATTGTCTTTATTTAGAGTACTTGAAAAAATATTCAAAAACAGATGGATAACAGATCAATTCAGAAATTTCATTTTGTATGCTAGTGTTCACATCAACGTGGTAGGAAACCCTTGACGTGTTCACATCAATGTGGTAGGAAACCCTTGACAAAGTAAACCCGAAAATATTGTCAAATGTATTATATTGTAGAGATAATATTATTACTAAGTGCCACACGATTAATAAACAAAACAATGTGAAATGTGAACATATCTCTTCTAAGTAGATCAGTAAGTACTCTTACGAGCACTTTATAGCCTCAGGGGTCATGACCAAATTGAAAGTAGTATCCACAGTTTAAAAGACATACATTGCTAAAGGCTGCTGTGAGTCAGAAACCAATATGTTAACCACGTCGTCAAAGCCCAACAGAATTCCATTTACAATAAACTAAGGTAGAGTAGGAACTCTTTCAGATGAAGAGATTACCATGCGTATACGAGCCATATTGTAATAGCTGATCTCGACAAGCTTTTGCAAGCTGAACACGCGTGCTGGATTCTGTTTTAATTCCTCAGCTGAGACACCACATAAAGCATTAAAGAACTCCACCACAGATTCACTGGGCAATTTGACACTATTCACGAAGACTTGTTCAGACGGTTTTCCAGCCAACTCTCTCAGAGATTGAACAACGGCATCTCTAGATATCTGATTTGATCCTTGCATGACAGTTGCAGACACAGCAGGCGACGATGTTATATATTCAAGGCGAGAAATGCATTCCAGGACTGCATTCCATGTGTCTTGAAGAGCATCAGTGTCAGTGTCACTTAAAGCCAACAGTGTGCGAAGTGCTTCTACATTCTTACTACGCATATCCCTTGGTGCATGTAAGAAATTAAATCTGCAATGCATTTTCACAAGAGTATTTGTCATGCTCCACAAAATTTTCCATGGTGAGTAAAAAATGTGTTACCAAATTCCCATGAAAAGTGATTTGTACTTTTTAAGGAAAAAAGCATTCAAAATTCACCAACATTATAGAACAAAAAACAAAAACATTGAGAAAATCAGAGAGGTACTATAAGGAAAAACTTATAAGACAATCAACAGTGCAAAAATATAGAAAAAGAAAGTGAGATTTACCTGATCAGAGAAGTTAAAAACGCGTAACGCATTGTATCCATTCCGAGAATATGTGTTATGTGTATACCTGCTCTGAATCCTTCCATACAAAGAATTACTCTTGGTTTGTTATCTCCTTCCTCCATAGTAACAGCAAAAGTAGCAAGCAATGGCCACCCAACAGCTTCAACCATGGGACGGATAAGTTCAATGCGATGCGAAGTATAAAAAACTCCCCTTTTTCCTCCTTGGTTCCGAAAAATAGCTTGTGTTTGCTTAATAATTGCCTCACTTTCGGACCTTGAATCAGTTGAAGAATTCCTTCTGGGAAGAGCTAAATTAAGAATACTAACAAGTCGGCTCCTCTCCTCTACTTCTGGCTTATGCTTACTACTTTTAGAAATGCCAGCAGGATCATCTTTCATTTTTATCTCTTCTTTGATGATAGAATCATAGGTCTCTTCTAGGAGTTCCTGAGGAGCACATTCTTCAGCATCATCCCTAGCATTGATTCGTACAAATTCACTTTTGGACATTTTTGGCCACACCATCGGATTATGAGCATCAGTATTCAACATTATAACAGCATACGCAAGAATATATGCCGTGTCTGCATTCTTGAAAAGACCAGGATTGTCTGCACAATAACTGCCAAAAAAATAAAACATTGTTTCCAGTCGGAATTATTTACATCAACATGAGGAAGGATTAAATCAACTGAATTATTAACATCAACATAAGCAAGGTACATTCTCTTTTAAACTAGCATCTATATAGAAGTAAATTTAACTTAAAATGAACAGTTCTATTAAGGCGGAAGGGAAAGAACAAGAAAAATTATGTTCGTTGGGTAATTGCTGAATTTTAAGGCAAATTTATCTTATCTTATTACTTAGTGTTCTTGCAGAATACCTGCTGCTTGCATAGAATTTTTTTAATAATGCACATCTAATTATACATTTTGGAGGTGTAGAAGTACTTTTACTTTTTCATGCCATCATCATTTTCAGACCATATTTTGTATGGTTTTCCATGTTAATGATATCATAATATGTATAGTTCGTGTCCAGGATAGAGTTCCAAAGAGGAGAAAGCATAATAAGCACCTATATATACTGGCCAATATGTCACAAAGGCCTCTTGATTTACATTAAATAAGAACGACCCTAAAGGGCATCAACAAATCCTTCTTCCAGAAGTGATTTGTTATGATTATTATTTCACTCAAGTTGGTGAAAAGATTGATCAAGGCTCAAACCACTTTAGATCGGCTACTTGGAATGCCACTGCCAGACATCTTCCTGACAGAAGAAGTATTTCAATTATTCCAAGGTTTTACAGCATCTAAACCTTGAGAAAATATCAAGTGTCAGCACCAATGTCTTAAATGTTTCTATATGTGGTTTTATTTTCATTTTCCAGTTTAAGGCTCCTTCAACTTATCTGAGTTCCCATATTTTCTTTTCCCGCTTGAGGGTCCTTCATAAACAGATTTGAGTATACCCCTATGCACACAAGTTTAGCAACCAAAAATGCCTACCGCTCTGCAAACTTCTCCATTATACGATCTATCTTCTGAGCCTCCCCTGGAAGTCGGAATCCTTTAAGGAACTCACGAATTGCAACATCAAACTTCATCCCAGAAAATTTCATGGAATCTACGTAAGCATGCATGACAGACAGAGGAAACTCCTCGTGCTGACCTAAGTAATCACCAATCATTGCCTGAGAAAGTTAAATTAGTTAATTGTAACTTTTTTAATCAAAGAATTTATGAAGCAAAACCAAAATAACGTCTACCTTGTCCAAATTGGGAGTATTTCTCAGAAAATGAGCAACTGCAGCTGGTGTATTTTCCACCAACCCACTGGACATCAGATATTGTACGCCTTTCCTTGATTGGCGATTGAACTGTTACATAATTGAAAAATGAAGCAAAGAGCTCTTATAAACATTGGGCCTACATATTTGAGAGAGAAAATAGCCAGAAAATTGGGTTTTTCAAGAAAGTAGGGCATATCAACAAAAGAATGCTCAAGGACCCACATACCTCAGAGATAGCAGCTTCAATTGTGGATTTATGAGCTTTCAACCTCTCGAAGTTACTTGGGGAATCTTCCCTGATTTTTGATTCACTCAATTCTGTAGTTGAAGGTTCTTGAACACACTGTTCACCAATATTCTGCTTCTGTGATTCTCTCTGAGAGTTCTCCCAATCAACCAGTGATTTTAGCACGCTCACGAGACACTAATATCAAGAAACAGGTGTCAATCAAACAATTTGAACCAGTGTCAGGCTGAAAAGAAGTTGCGAGAAATAAGAGTACAACAGTTGCCAGATGAATAATATATAGCCGATAGGATATACCTGAAGTGAAGATCCTTTAATTGATCCCATCTGAGAAGCGGTAACAGACTTTGGATCCACACTTTGAGTACCCTGAGCAATTTTCGATAATGTGGTTACCTGAACATTAAGATATCAGACAAAGATGACTTGTTAGATGTATATCAGGGAACTCAGATAAAAACAGTGTGTTCAGAAAGAATCACACCATGCGTTCAAACAAGTTGGGTGCTTCAAGATCACAATCATAGTTAACGAAGAGATCAACAAGCATCTGAGAATCCTTGCAGACCTTCTCTAGCATCCTGCCAATTTTAGATTTTATGACGTCAAAGAACACCAAAAAAGGGGGAAAAACAGCACGTCAACAAACCACATTTTGGCTAACCAAGGGTAAAAAAATCTGTATGTCATAAGACAATTAACCACACTTTCATTTCTTTTAAGGGATGGCGACAGTAGATAATATTCAAACTAAAGATATAAACAGGTTTTGTTACAACATGAAAACCATTTAAGAGGAAAATATAACATGGAGAAGTTGGTGGCTATATTGGGTTTTAGGGTCGCACAGTTGTCTATGTCATATCTTGAACTCCTTTTAGGAGCACGATTTAAAAGTAAACATATTATGAACAGTATTGCGAAAAGGGTGGATAGGAAGTTAGCAGGTTGGAAGCACATGTACATCTCAAAGGGAGGCTGTCTTACACTCATTAAGTCCACCCTATCGAATCTCCATACTTATTTCTTCTCATCATTTCATATTCCTGCTGCTAGCAAAATGATTGAGAGAATTCAAAGGGAGTTTCTTTGGAGAGGGTTAAAGGAGGAGAGAAAACTTCATTTAGTTAATTAGGGGTATAGTTTGTTTCTCCCTTAAGGATAAGGGGTCTCGAATTGAAGAGCCTTGTATTGTTTAGGCCTTACTAGGTAAGTGGTTGTGGCGATTCGGAGTGGAAAGGGGGAGTTTCTAGAGAGATTATAGAGGCAAAATATGTTGTTATGGAGGGGAATAGTGCTCAGTCGAGAGTCATGGTTCTTATGGGGTGAGTTTGTGACGGTATATCCAACAAAGGTGGAGGGACTTTTGAGATTGACGTTTATTGTCGGGAATAGTAATACTATCAGTTTCTGAGATGATTGTCAGTGTGGAAATCGACCGCTAAAGGTGGAATTTCCTTCTTTATATCATATTGCTTTGGTGTCGTCTGCCATGGTGAAAGATATCTTAAATACACATAACAGAAGTCTTAGCTGGAACATTGTTTTTGGGAATGGCTTACAACACAAAAAACTAGATGATTATGCGCTGCTTTTGACATTTTTGTACGAGGTGCACATCAGAGTAGGAGATGGTGATTGTAGCAGATGGAGGTTGGCACAGAATAGTATTTTCTCAGTGGGCACTTATTTTAAATCCTTATAAGGACCTATGGAGAACTCATTCCCCTAAAAGATGGTATGACAATGTAAATTGCCTCCTCGGGTGGCATTTTTACTATAGATGGCTGTGAGGGGATAGATGTTAACGATAGATAACCTCTGAATAAGGGATTTTTTATGTTACAAAATGGTGTTATGTATAGGAGAAATAGGGAGACGCCTGGCCACTTGTTTCTTCATTGTGACGGTGCTCGTTTGCTGTGGAACGATATTTTAGCTTCTCAACACATGGATTGGGTGTTGCCACGGCGTATGGAAAATGTGTTAAAAGGCATGGAGGAGAAAGTTTCGTAATAAGGACAGTAAACTTGTTTGAAACCTTATGCCAGACTGCATCGTATGGTGTGTGGAAGGAGAAAAACAGTCGCTATTCTGATGATCATACACGGATAACACAGCAGATTAGGGAATTGTTTTATTTGACATTATATAATTGATTTAATGTTGCAGCTACTACTCGTATAGACGGGCTGTCCAAATTTTATGTTTTTCCTTATTTAAATTGTTAATACATTTTCTTTGAATTATCCTTGCTTAATAAAATATTTGATTACTTATCAAAAAAAAAAAAAAAAAAATTTAGAGCAAAATACAGTACCGGAGAACACTTATTTTTTGGCTAAGATCTGATCCATCCAAAGATCGTAGAACAATCAAAGGAAAGAATACTCCAATTTCACCCTGAAAAGAATAAACATAAGTTTACAGCCTAGAGAACAAAATAAAAATGTTTCAATTCTGATAAAGAAATTATCACACAAACTTTTCGAAGTTTTCTCATACTTTAAGACATTCTCTAAACCGCAACAAAAGCACTGTGAAAATTCCTGTTGCATACTGCAGTGAAAATAAAAATTATTGTCAACATAATTGCACAAATTTTCATAATAGCGAACATAAAATTGAGCCAAAAGAGAAAACATCTGTTAAACCTGAAAGATGCTAGAAGATTGAGAAACTGATGCTCTCAATAATGCATATGAAAGGTGAGCTTTTGTCGAGTCAACAAACTGAAAGTTCTTCGTGAATGATTGACTAACACCTTCCAGTAAACCCTGTAAATTCCACATGGTAAATGATGTGTGATGAGTCTTCAGCATGCATAATATGAGCACACAACAAGAACTAATATCGTGTATTACTACATTCTTTTCAAAACATTCAACATCCATTTAGTTTACATTTTTCCCAGATGCTAAGAATAAGCATGACCATTGCTTTCATCTAACACGTCTTACTAATACAATGACTTCATCAACAAACCCGTATTTCAATCCCAAAACTTGATTTTGAAATTGAACATCTCTTTCTTGGTTCAATTATTTTAAATACTTATTATAACAAACACAGGATAAAAATCTGAATTGATTTTTCAGGTTTTACTTAACTACATGATTGTAATTTGTGAACAGCTACCACATATAATAAAAGGAAAACGGCCAACAGTTCAATACAATAGGTAATTGGAAAAAACCAATAACTCATCCGCCTGCAAGTATATATGAAATGGGAGGAAACTGGGCTTCAAATGGAAAGAGAATGGTGAACAGGGAGGGAGAAAAGGATCGAATAAGAACAACAATTGATAAGCAGAAATTTGTATATACATTCTCTAGGCTGTGAACTTCCATTCAACAACTTAGTACGAAACATACAGAGTAGTTTAGAATAAAGTAGTGTCCAATTAAAAGAGTATTCTTAAGCATCCAACAACAACATGCAAACTTGCTAGTTTGGAGATATATTCCCACAACTAACCTGCAGAAGCTCCAGGGAGAGAATACGCGTTTTGGTAGTAACTTCATCCTTATCTTCCTTCATACCCATCTACAAACATATCAAAAAATTATATCGAAACAGTCACAAATTAGAATCTAGAATAGTATATAAACAAGATGCTACATACAAACCTTACACAGGGTGCGGAAAAGAAGTAGAGCATCACGTTGTCCAATATTCATGCTCCCTAGGTCCTTTCCTCTGAGAGAATTCACAAGTTGAAGGTATAAGCACCCAGAAGTGGGTTATTATTTATGTACAGAACAAGACAGTTCAAGTTCATATATTTGAAAGAAACATGATGAATGGACTTCAACTTTTGAGATCTGCACTCCATGTCTGCGAGGAAACATGGAGTGCATAAATCATGTTATGGGGGTTATTCATAAATTTCTTTTCCTAAATCCTAATTATAACAATCTCAATCTTCATATGGTATCCATACCTTGTGACATTTTCACCATCTTCGTGCAAAGCCTTCTCAAGAACAGCCTCTAAACCCTGTAAAAGAACGAGTTCCGTCTCATAATTTTCAGTTATCAGATGGAAAATTTTCTGACACTCAAAAAACATACAAATACGTGAAACACTTGGTAATTAGAATAGCATTATTCGGCTGTAGCAAAGTGCATAATCATATGGTAAAAGGCAACAAAGATATGAAGTAGCCAAGCACCTTGATATCAGTGCCGCCAACAAAGTTTTGAAGTTCATCTCCCAGATTCATTCCTTGCTCGTTCTGGTCACTGGATGACACTTGATCAACCTTTGTGTTTGACGCATCTTTCGAAGTAGCTTCTTTACATGCAACAGAACTTGAAGCGGAAGTTACCTGAATCACCAGGTAGTGATTATTGAGCATTGAACTGTGTTTCAATCAACTAAATGGTAAGAAACAAAAGATTTCTGAAATGAAACTTCTATTACATACTGAATCAGTTTCCATCCGTCTGAATATGATGCTGAGCATCTGAGTTAGCATGGCTTTTGAAGTTGCTTGGTTTATAGGACTCTTGCTAAACATCCAAAACAGACACTATTAGCTCTATATGGAGTTAAAATCAATTTAACCTTACAACGTATGAACCATTACCTATTAAGAGCAATATTATAACACACCCTGATGACTCCAAGCAATGGTTCACCATGAACTGCATTAGAACAAGGCAAGACGGCACATATAATTAACTAAACCTTTTGAATTTGAGAAATTTAGGTCCGTTCAATAGTGCCTCTGTCCAACATGGATGAAACTTGTTGTCAGGAGGTTAAATAATCTTAGAAGTGGCTATTAAACAAAGTGAAGAGACCCCAGCAAAGTGTTTACTTGGGAAACACCTAAACCAAGTGATTTGAAGTTCTGACTGCACAAGTAAGAAAAATCAACCATCATCCCACAACACCAACTTTATAATGAAGAAGAGGAAAAGAAGAAGCTTGTCAATGTAGCTTCCTTCATATCCTTGATGCCTTTTCATGTTGCAAAATCCATCGGCTTAGTTTACCATCAACATATGAAACGACTTAGCAGATATGTAGTTTTGCAAAATCATGTCTTTGGAAAGTACCTACATTTTGCTCTGTAGAAGATCTGTGGACAGTCACATGTAGAAGATTGCCAGGTGGCAAGAATGGACCAGTGCAGCACCCAAAATCCAATGGGAAGCTGGATGTACTAAAGGTGAAAATAGGCTAGTCTGAAGGACATATAGGCGATGGCTAGCTATACAAAGCCAAGAAATTTAAAACTCTTGGCTCTTGAGAAGGAGAAAAAGTAACATAATGGCACCAGGAGACTATTTGTGGCATAAAGAGATTGCCTAAACCTTCCTGCACATCTTAAAAGTATGACGTGCCACAACTGGTAGAGCTTTCATTTTGTGCATGAGGTGCAATACATAACTTTTGAGTATATTTACTTCAAAGGCGTTTTCAGTCTTTCAAGTTGACAGGTTTTACAAAATATTTATCCTGTACTTCTATTTTAGTGGAGTGACCATGACTACCGAAATTTCTTAGTTATGAACTTCAAAAGAGTACTTGTATCTCGACAGTAAAAGTATGGTCTTCCTAGAGCAACATATATTATGACTCTGTACGCATTTTATTTCACTCCTTTCTGAATTTCATTGACTTCATGAATCTCTGCAATATCTGAGGCTTTTTACACAACTAGTCCCATCCAAAAATTTCTAACCTTATTCCGCAGAAAGAAACATTCTATCAATTGATAGTAAAATAGCAGAATGATATTAGAGTGAAAACTTAAAAAGTGACCAACATAAAAACATGAATAACAGATCTCATAGAACATATCTAATATAACAAAATAATCTTTCTTCCCAATTTGAAGTTCGCTAAATTGTAATGACAACATATTTATTAAAAAAAAGGAATATTAAGCAAGCATACCCCTGAACTTAGTCGATGCTACAGCAGAAAGAAGCACCTTCAGTACTTGAAGAGTAGTGCTGCATTTCATTTCCTCAGGAGTTACATTCAGTAAATACCAAACAAATAAAGAAAAAGTATAAATGTCCAATGTGCTGGCGTGTATACAGTATACCTGTCAGGTGATGAATTATCTGCACAGCTGCAGACCATGTTGAGAATATCAGTGAACAGTTGCGAATTTTTAGCACCATCTAGACCAGGATCACCCTCAAGGTGATTGTATCCAATCAGTTTCTGTTTTCGAAAATTAAGCAGATTAGAATGAGATACATAATCTTCAAAATCCATCAAATAAAAGTTCAAAGGTGCTTTAAATGAGCATCTAGCCTAGTACAAGCAGTTATTTCATCATTAAAAAATTCAAATCCAGTATAGTATTAGTACATAATTTTGTGTTAATGAGCATGAAGTGCGATGTATCTAACTTAATGGTTTAAGAAGCAAAATCAGTTTCCCCTATCCATTTCGTTAGATGGGTAAAACATCCTTGACATTCATGGAGGTGCAATCACACACACACAAGGAATACACATTAACAAGAAAAAAACTATGAGGAGTTACAAAATATCAACTTTCTGATGCCAAATGTTAAAAGAAACTGAAAAATGTCTTCTGCAAGTAATGTTTAAAGCTGAATATCAGTGACCAAAACAAAAACCTACATGAAGGCAATCCAGGGCAAGCTCCATGACTATGATGTTCTTGGTCTCAAATGCAATTCGAAGTGGATTCAGGACAAGCTCAGCCTGAGCTCCTCCTAAAGTATGCCCCGCACTAGCTAAGGCTGTTGTGATAGATCCACCACTGTCGGTAGGCCGGCTAGCAGATTCCACCTCCTCAGCAGCAGCTGGAGCATTGTTAGATTGATCTGATTCCGTCGCAGATTTTTCAGCTCCAGCATCACTTGCAGGTAAATTACTGAAAGAAACGTGTTCCCAAAAATTGAAACTTCAAAAGACGAAGGAGAAGTACTGGAATACTGCAGACAAAAAGACTTGCACAGTAGAGATCAAAACTAATACTACTTTCCATAGCATCGCCATCTACCATTTATCATGGAAAAATGATGAATATGACTGAAAATAATCAGAGACAAGTGGATCCATGGACACTAGTAATGGGCTTGAAAAACGAAAGGGCAGGGAATAGCTGGAACAGAGATTTGGCATGAAAGAAGGTTAGAAAACTACAAAGTTACATATGCAGTACGCACCTTGTCGCTTCAACTGAGGATGTTGCCTGGTTAGATTCACCAGAATTAGATTGCTGACTGACGTCCTTTGCACTGTCTGGACGGGTAGAGACATATAAATACTACTTCCATTAAATCCACTGATGAAAATTTGATAAATAGGAAGCAAACACAAAATGCACTTAAAAGCAAACGAACAAGTAAAGCACGAATGACAACAAATATTCCCATGTATATCACTTCCCCTCCCCCAAGTCACCCCAAATCTCCAGGTTTCCCTCCAAAAGAATACAGTTTCAGTAATAAAATATTAAAAAAATAGACCTGGCAGCATCAATCTCTGATGCTCGGACTCTTCGAAATGGTTGGAGTACCCGTGTCGAATACGATACGACATAGGAATGGATATGGGATATGTGTCGGATCCTTCAAGTTACAACCGGACACTTCGTCATTTTTGCTTCTTCCTCTTCATTTTTCTTCTTTCTTCTTTTTTCTTTTCTTTTCCTTTACTTCTCGTTTCTGCTCTTTATAAACCTAATGCCGCCTCCGAGAGGGTAGAGAAAGACGACGGTGTTAAGTTTCCCTTCTTCTTCTTCTTTCTTTTTTCTTTCCCTCTCTTTATCAGTGGTCTAGAGATTTATTTGTATAAAATGAAAATGGGTTTCATTTAGTGCTTCACTAAGTCCAAATTACGATCCAGTCCCTCATTTTCAATTTTATATAACATTCAGTAATTAATTTCTCATAATTGAAAACTAAACCTTAAAATTTTATTTTATTCATCTTAACACATTATTCAATCCTCATTTCTTTATTTATGAACAATTAATTTTAATTTATTCAAAATGACATCTTGGATTAATAAAAAAAATTAAAACTTGAAAGACGTACCTACCCACGTACCCGTGTCCAAAATTTGGACTCTTTTTAAACATGTCCCCTTATTCTACATTTTTAAAAATAAAAAATCTGACACTTAGATACGTACCTGTACCCGATACCCATACCCGAGTCCGAGCATCATAGGCATCAATAGAAATAATAATCAAATACCCATATTCAAAAGTAGTTTTCAATGAAAATGACTGGTAACTTTAAGAAATCATTCCAAATAAGAGAACAAAAGAAACGAGGGTTCGGGAGTGACCAACAGCTCCCTTTCTTTCCTATATATATGTTCCTCCTCCCACTTGCTTGCACTTCCTTTTAGATCATGGAACTCCTATGTCTGTGAGTCCTGTCTAAATACAGCACTGCCCAAAGTTATCGGTCTCTTTGACAGTAACATCTGCATTTCTCATCAAAGACCTCATAAGCAAGTCTCTCCAACTTATACTCCTTAGCATTTCAGCAAATTTCAAATAATTCTACAAAAATCTTCACCTTCGGACACTCAATCCTGTTGGTAACTCTCAAATTTAATTGCAATTTCTCGACACCCTTCTTCCTTTGTTTAAAAGCAATGACAGCTAACTGTGAGTTCTTCCTTGTCAACTCTCTCTCATCTCGAGTTTCCCGTATTAAATACTCATGGCCACCCCACCGCCACCCCCAATCGTAATTCGATATCCTCAGATCTGCAATGTGTTGCTCATCTACATGTCAATATGCTTAGGTTCTTGGGCATTGAAATTAACTTCCTCTGTTATCTGTCTGATTGCAAAACATAAATTGGAAGCCTCCAGATTGTTCCCCTGTGTCTGGGAGACCTAGTACCCTGCAACATGCCTCAGAAGGAATGAAAGTGCAACAGTTCTCCATTTTTATTTCTATTTCATTTTTTATATCTCATATCATAAAACATTGAGCCTATGTTTCACTCAAGTTTATATACACTTTATAATCCCTCAAACCACTTATTGTCCATACATGTTAAGGAACCCACATCTACTACCCAATAATCTACCACTCATTTTGAACTATTTATAATTTCAACAGTTTATAAACACTTCCTAAACTTGCTTTGAAGTTTGGTCTCAGAAATATTTTTCTGCTGTGTAATATTGGATGCAACTCACTCAAAAAATAAAAATAAAATAAAATAAACTTTGTTTACAAATCCATGATATTGAAGAAAGATAATATCTGAACATCAAATCAAACACTCGTCATAGAATAAGCTTGTGAATTTCGTGGAAAGATATAGTAGAGTTTCCTTCCCTGACACACAGAATGTGGTTTTGGCAGGCATGAACTGCACTGGCACATTTATGAAATCAGGATACCTTTTTCAGATACATTTTAGTTATGGAATTAACAACCTAATCGTCTAGTGATAAGAGAAAGAAGAGATTGAGGTTGATTTGAAACTTTCTTCTAGCAGTATTTATGCAGCTGAACACAACGGACCATATATTTAGATTTGTTGAGGTCAAACCGTGTGAACTAGTAAGTAGAAATCACATTACAAGAAAGAAACCCTATATTTTTCCAGGGTTAAGAGTAGCCATCTCTTGCTCCTCTCTTTCGTAATTATTACCATCCCCCCTCCCAAAAAAATAAATAAATAAATAATGCACACCACCTGAATCCCCTAAATCTAATCCACTATTAAACTAGGAAATAGCTTCCAGTCCCATAGATGACTTTTTAAGAAATGAAAACAGCTAAAAGATGCAGATAGCATAGGCCAAAAGTTGTATAGGATGTAAGCAGGAAAAACCTTAAGAAGCACGGATACAGATACATAATTTGAATACGATAGGGTTACGTCGATACGATTTGTAAAAAAAATTGGGATACGACGGATACATGGTATACAATTCAATGCAGTATAATAATAAGAATAAAATAAAATATATAAAGCATTTTTTCTTAATCCTTAACTGTTCTAACTTCATTTTCTTCAACGTGAACTTCGTCATTTTCATTAAAAACAACACTCTTCAAGTGTGGCTCGATAGATTAGCACCATCAAGTCCAACACCTTCAAGAGTATCAAATGAATCACCAACATTGTCCCTTATTTTGGATTCTCCTTTTGAATAGAAATCTATTTCTCTTGATAAAAAACACAGATTACCATGAATGAAAATAAATTCTTCAACTCAATATGGAGTAATTTTATTCATTCTCATAGAGTCCACAAAAGAGACGCACTCATTTTTTGCAGCACGAGATGAAGAAAAATGTTGCACAAGAAGTTTCAAATCAATGCTCTAAAGCAAAGAAGCATGTAAATCATGAAGTAGCCACTAGGTCTATGAATCCATATTATACCGATCAGTGATAGAATCAAACTCACCCATAATATTCTTCTTCACATGTCCTAATGTATCATGTACGTATCGAAAAATTAAAAATTCAAAAATATATAAAATAATTAAAAAAATGTATCTGGTACGTATCGGAGGATATAGGAGAGTATCTGAGCTTGGATACGTATCACATATGAGTATGTATTGAGTTTACAAGTATCTTTGCTTTTTAGGGAAAAAAATATGTGGTTCCAATGTACAATCAATCCACACGTGTAGCATATTTTGTAAGAAGTATATGGCTTTTGCTTTCACACTGAATCATTCAATAAGCAGTCAATCAACCCAATCCATGTTGGTATGATAGATAATCAATATATATCTTTAGATAGTACACAGCATTCATAAAAGCTGAACATAAATTTCCGTTTCTTCAAGGAACCTCGAGATTTATACTTCCAAGAGTGACAATTTACTAAAATAGTTCCATATAAGTGGCGTAATTGTTGAATACTAAAATGGAATAGCTTGGGTTCATCAATTACCCTATAGATTTAGTCCCTAAACTAAAATATTCGTTCGAAACTTCAACAATTCCATGCAACCCAAGTAACGACCTCCAAGTGATATTTGGCATGTGTTAGCTTGAAAAAACTGATATCTATAAATAAGTAAAAATCACCCTTTAAAAAAATCCTTTTCTGGTGCTTTAGAAAAGTACCGACTTCACATTTAGAACAGAAATAAATTTGTATAAGATGATTTCGCCCTTTCTAATGAAAAATGGTTAAAAATATGAAAACACTAATTGCAGATGAGAAGAATGGAAACCTATGAAAATGATTAGTGCCCAGATTGAGCTTCATTCATATGTAACTAAATGCTATCTTCTCCAGACTTCAACAAATACATACATCATAAAACTAAAAGTAAAAAAATTAATAAAAGTAAAAAGTTGCACTGAAAATGGATTAAATAGCATTACAAGCTAGACCAAACGCAAAGAAAATGAGCCTTCTTCATTCAACTACAGAATGCAACAGGAAGGGTGATAAAGAGCATGGAGTCAGCCTGCCAAATATAACTGGTTACATAGATAGTACATACCTAGTAGTTACATCTCCAATATCACAGATTCTTAGTCCAGCTAACAAGTATAAATTTTTGTTGAGACATAAAGAGCACACGGTCTGACATAAAGCTTAGTTGGTTGACACGTGAATGGCACTTACCTAGAACTTAGGACTCTATAGCATATGATAATCATCTAGATCACAAAACCCTAGAAATTGGTGTCAAATATGTTTTCGGTTCCATAACCCATTGAAAAGCAATCACATCATATTGAAAATTTTAACTTGAGTGTTCCATTACAAATTCTTCTATGGCCCCTTTGAATCCAGTTGTGCCCAAAATAACGTCTAGAAAAAAGCTATATCATAATCATCTAGACCAGAAAAGCCTAGTAATTGGCGACAATATATGTTATCGGTTCCATAACCCATTGAAAAGAAATAACATCATATTGCAAATTTTAACTCGAGTGTTCCATTACAAATTCTTCCATGGTCCATTTGAATCCATCATGCTCACAATAACATCTAGAAAAAGTAATTTTTAATGACAACAACAAAAATTAGTCTAATGAGAAAATGCTTGTTTCAGTAGATAACAAAAAACACTTTAACCAGCAATTCCTTTGGTTATCGTTGAGAAATTAACTGGGCGAAAACGTAGTAAAAGAAACTTGAAATTACAAAAAACATTTGCGTGCATGAATGTAAAAATATGAGTAACAGATCTGGGGCGTGTACCTATATAAGTCTGGATTGCAGACTGAAGATTAGTGTATTTTTTGTTGGCACACTCTTTGAGCATAGACTCGAATGCCCGCGTCACAAACCCACCTGCTGCACCCCCTGCCATTTTCCTGCCCTTTCTTCCTCTGTTCAATTGAATTACCTTTTAAAATTGGTGGGTTAAATAAATACTGAGATCAGATTAGATGAGACCTGGAATTTTTAAACACTTTATTCGAGATCTTGGATTCTAAATTTAAATAATTTGTAGGGAAAATGAAGAAATTGTTACCTTTTTCCTTCCTCACAAGTGCGAAAATCTTAACACCGAAGAAAAGTCAAGAGATCTGGCCTGGAAACAAACGAATGAATGGATGGAGAAACTGTGCACTTGCAGATTCTATGCTGTGACGCACCTGATTTTATATTGCTCTTGAAACTCCACCGCGGATTGTGGAAACAATGAACAGCATAGTCGCATTGGGTGACCCATGCGACTTTAGTTGGGACTTTAATTATTTCTCTTTTCCTTTTAAATTTATACTTTAATAATTTATTTGCAACGTAATTGAATTGCATGCAATGTCCTCAAGCTTTTTCTATTTTATCATTTACGTTCTAAATATTATTGTCAAATTTTTATCATCAAACTTCAATTAATTAGCATATCTCATTGTTTATAATGGTTTCTACCAAAATACTCCATTTGCATTCTTTGAAATTAAGATAAAATATTGTTGAACTATTAAGAGTATATTTGATCCCCATTATTTTTAAAATTTATTTTTCTCTCTTCTTATCAACCACATATTTTTTAGTAAAATAATATTTCGTGCAAATTCAAATTTTTCTTATTTTTTGCCGCACATTCCTCATCAATTTATTATTCCAAAATACACTCGATTAAAAATGGAGTTCAAATATGCTCTAAATTTATTGCTATTTTAATTGTGATAGACAAATTTACAATCTCCTAGTGCCCTTTTGGAAGAAAACGATTACCATCAAGTTGGGAAATATTAATGGGAAAAAATTATAGACATAAGGACTGTAATGAGCAAACTCGAAGAACTTGGGTGCAATGAATTGTGATGCAACAAGTAAAATATGTTATTTGAATATAAGTACTCATAATTTAGTCCATGTTCCATTTTATATTTGAATATAAGTACTCATATATATATATATATATATAAGTTTTCTAATAGTGATTTTTTTTTCTGAATGTGTAGTTAAAAAAGTAGTAAAAACTTTAGATTTACATATAAAATTATTTTATTGAAAGAATATGTAATCGAAAATGAATTTTAAAAAAATGAGCTTTAGATAGTAGATATATGCATGGAATTAATTCAATTTATCTCCCGAATTGCATGACCATTTTGAAAATTTCTACAATTGTGTTTATATAAACATTTTGAATCAAAAACTTTCAATTAAAAAAAGTGAAGGGCTGATGATCATATTATCGAACATATATTTTAAAAAAGGTAAACTGCACTATTAGTTTATAGAGTTAGCTCAATGTATTAGGCGACTTAGGCGTCACGTAAGATTCCTGATTTGTGAGAGATCCTCGAATTTTTTTAAATTACTTGTACATTTTTTTATTTTTATTTTTTATGAAAACGTAATTTTTTTATAAAGCCTGACAATCAAGGACCTAACCTAATAAAACCACGAATCATTTTTATTAGTTTCAAGAATCAAGACATATATTCATTTTTTTTAAAAAAATTATTTTTTAACGGTTTATTCCTAGCGGTGAAGACCTTCTCTTCCGACTTCCTTCTCGCAATGAATGAAATCAATAAAAACCCAGCTTATTGTATGATTAAACATGCAATCAATGTAGAACCCATTTTCTTGGAAACGTCTTTGACTCAAGGCTTTTTTTTTATTATTATTATTTTTTTATTTTTTTTTAGAAATTGTTCGAAGTAATAAATAATTTTTTTTAAGATTATTTGATTAAAAAGTAAAAAAAAAAATTATGTATTTACGTGAAAAATTATTTTATTAAAAGTGCATTTGATTGTCAATATTTCCATGGAAAATATATGTTTTCCAGCCAAATTTCTACTTATATGCTGTTTGGTTGACTTTTTTTCATGAAAAATATTTTCTTACTTTTGACCACGTTATCATACTTTCCTCAAAATCAAAGAAAATAATTTCTTTAGGGGTCCGTTTGATTGCGAATATGAAATTTGGGTGGAAAGAAAACGAATTCCAGATAATTGAATTGCCTAAAAATTATTTTCTTAGGAATTGCAAATTATTATGTTTAATTGATATAATTTTTCACGTGGAATTCGTTGAAATAAAAGTTTTTTTTTTTGTTCGTTCGACTTTGTTTTACATGAAAATTGTTAATTAAAGGTATAAATTGTACTGGTATTGGAGATAAAATTTGTTTCCATTTGCCAAAAAAATTCAAAAAAATCATCTATTTTTCGTATTCGTTTGATTTTGTTTTAAATGAAAATTGTCAATTAAAGGGAAATATTTTTTTACAATTAGAGATAAAATTTGTTTCCATTGCTAAAATAAAAAGAAAAAAAATATTTGCTACAGTAACCGGGAAGACCAATTCCCACCAATTGGTTTTCCATGAAAACCAAGCAAAATTCTATGTGGCAAGGCAACCAAGAATTCCATTTCCATGGAATAAAAAAAGAAGAAGACATCAAACACCCTTAAAATTGAAAAATGGAATTCCACGAAAAATCTCTCCTATCAAACACACCCTAAGAGGAGTAATATTTTATTTTTAGGAGTCCACTCTCCTTTTCTTTCTCTTATCTATCAATTCTCTTTCGTCTACCACCAATAAAAAATGGACAAGAATAATATTTTTTAAATTAAAAACTAAATCAATCAAGCACTTTTAATTAATAATTTACATACAAATAAGTTCTAGACAATTAAATTACCTAGAACTTAGTGCTTTCCTTACAAATTTCATATTTGCAATCAAACACGCCATAAGAAAATTTGTAGTTGAAAATGAATTTAAGAAATTCTATTAAAGATTTTCATCTGCAGAATATATATTACCATTTTCATCCTTAAATTTCACTCTGTTTTTTGTATTATCGCAACCCCCTGGACTTACATATCCATCAATGCTAACAGGCCTCGAATCCCTTCCACTGGAGGATTCCTCGTGCCTGCTGCTGCTTGAACTTGAACAACAATCTGTATCAAAAACTGTACTGCCATTATCCTCATTTTCATTGTCCATATGTCGATCATGATCCTCGTTGGGNCAAAAAAAAAAAAAAAAAAAAAAAAAAAAGACATCAAACACCCTTAAAATTGAAAAATGGAATTCCATGAAAAATCTCTCCTATCAAACACACCCTAAGAGGAGTAATATTTTATTTTTGGGAGTCCAACTCTCCTTTTCTTTCTCTTATCTATCCATTCTCTTTCGTCTACCACCAATAAAAAATGGACATGAATAATATTTTTTAAATTAAAAACTAAATCAATCAAGCACTTTTAATTAATAATTTACATACAAATAAGTTCTAGACAATTAAATTACCTAGAACTTAGTGCTTTCCTTACAAATTTCATATTCGCAATCAAACACGCCATAAGAAAATTTGTAGTTGAAAATGAATTTAAGAAATTCCATTAGAGATTTTCATCTGCAGAATATATATTACCATTTTCATCCTTAAATTTCACTCTGTTTTTTGTATTATCGCAACCCCCTGGACTTACATATCCATCAATGCTAACAGGCCTCGAATCCCTTCGACTGGAGGATTCCTCGTGCCTGCTGCTGCTTGAGCTTGAACAACAATCTGTATCAAAAACTGTACTGCCATTATCCTCATTTTCATTGTCCATATGTCGATCATGATCCTCGTTGGGTTCACTAGTAGATGGGATACGGGCTGAAAGAAGCTTAGGGAGAGCGCCACCCGATGGAGCTATTGCTAAGAAACTGAGAGCAATCACAACGTCGACTATAAAAGGACGGACTGATGGATCCTCCTGAAGACACATGGCTGCAATTCCAACCGCTTGATTCAAGCTTGTCACTGGAAATTCCCGACTGAGACATGGATCTGCCATTTCTGGAAATCTCTTCGGATTTCTAAAAAAAGATTGTGCCTGTTCGAATATACGTATGCTGAATCAGTTAGACAAATGCATTGTGTATGATTGGGTAAAGTTCGGTGACTAATGTGAAAGAGCAATTTGTGATTGAGTTTACATACCCAAGTAACTAAATTTTGCTCGTCTATTGGTCGTGAGTTGTCAAAGGCTCTACGTCCTGTGATAAGCTCTAGTAATACAACTCCAAAACTGTATACATCCGATTTTAGTGACAATTCACCTTTTCTTTCGTACTCTGGTGCTGAGTAACCGTAAGCTGCCATGACCCTTGGCGTTACATGCATCTTATTCCCACACTGTACAAGCTTGGCAAGCCCATATTGAGAGAGTCTTGGGTTGAACTCTTCATCCAACAAGATATTTGAGGATTTTAAATCACGATATATGATAGGGGAATTACCCTTCTCATGTAAATATTCAAGTCCTTCCGCAACACCTGAAGCTATTTTCATTCTAGCCGTCCAATCTAATAATTTTCTGTCTGTTGAAGCATCTACAAAGATAAATAAAGAATCTATTTCATATCAAGAGAAAAACATCATCAATACAAGTTTAAGATCACAGTAACAGTTTATTCCATGTTCTTAATAGCATTTAGTAGCTTAACACAAAGATTTGCAAACAAAAAAATACCGAATAGGTAATCGTCTAGAGATCCAGATGGCATGTATTCGTATACCAAAATCCTTTGCTCCCCATCGGCACAGTATCCTATGAGAGAGACCAAATTCGGGTGGCGAAGGAGACTCAACATCAAAACCTCGACTAGAAACTCTTTAGTTGCTAGTGTCCCGCTCCTGTCCAGTTGCCTCACAGCTACAACCTATTCAAGATTAGCAGAATTTAAGGTTGTCTTGTTTAACAGTCATAGGGGCCTAGTTGTTGAAATTAAAATAAAGAAAAGTTGGCAATCTGTATTACCTGGCCGCTTGACTGAAGTGTCCCCTTAAATATTCGTCCGAATCCACCTTCACTCAATAGACATTCTTGACGAAAATTCTTCGTCGCAGCAGCAAGTTCACGGAAAGTGAAAATCTTTGTCGTATCGTTTCCATTTTCTACTGCATCACAAGCTTCAGCATTGCTGCTATTAGCCTCTGCTAATGGAATTTGTTTGCTGTTTACTGGAGAGAAAGAGGAAACACAGTAAACTCTCTGAATCTTTCAGCTGTCCCATCATTATTTCTACCGTATACATTATGGCATGCTTAATCGGGAGAATCTAAAATATTTCCTTCTTCCAGCATTGTCGTATATAAAAATGTTTTCTTTCTAATTTTTTTTCTCAGTTATTCATTTGTTAAGAAAGGCAAAACCAGTCGAGTATGACACGCCATTGATTCATTGAATAATTAAAGAAGACTGATTTTCCATTAGAGTCGAGGTTGAGATTTTTCGTTAATTCAACATAGAGACATACCAGCAGGTGGGTTTGGCGGAATGATCTCTTTCGCATGAGCTACTGTCTTGTCTTTCCTGCTAAGTTTCGTAAGTTGAAAACACGGGAAGCATCTCATCTCTCGGCCGTTTCCAATATCAAAAAATATAATAAAAGATATTGAATGAAACAAGACAAAAATCCCCTTAAAGATGACAAAGTTACACAGAAAAATATATATATCCCATTATGCAGAAGATTGTTGAAGAAGAAAAATGCGTGGGCATGGGAATGGAGATGGGTCCTCCAGGAAGAATTGAAGGACCCCAATGAAAATGGCAATAAAGTATGAAAATCTTGAGAAATTCATATGTAGAAGAAGATGGACGCCGTGTTAATTGTTAAGAATAATTTGTTCATTGATTTTTCTCTCAATCCATTCCGGAGAAAAAGGAGGAGATTTGAATGGTCATTTTTCCCCTTCATACAACGTGGGATGTGATGGGATGGGAATATGGATCCCAGTTGTCAACAACATTTTGAAAATCCTATCTTGGTATGGTAATGTTCACGACGTGATTTTGACTCAGGTCAGATTAAGTTTGGTAAAATTCTACTAAAAATTAAAAATAATTTAACGTGATATACATGATAAAATCTTTAATTACGATTGTTCATGCAATTGATTTGTCATTTTACGATTGTAGAATAGCAAGATAGTACAACATTAAAAAAAACGATTTTAACAATCTTGATCTCAAGTATGCTTCCATAATTTTCTTTCTTTTTTCACGATATATTGCAAAGGCGCCTAAATTTTAACATGCAACTATGAAAGATGTTTATTATGAATTCTCATTATTGAAGTTGGAGTTTGGAATTTGAAATTTTCTATTGAGAAAGAAAAAAGTCCCTACTAAACCAACACCAGCGTCATATTATTTTGAAATATTAAAGAAAATTATTCAATGCCCGAAAACTGTATTTTATAATTATAAAATCTAATTATTTAGGTCCCTAGAAGATTTGGCTCAACGTGCCACCATTTTCTCCTTATAATATTTTCGAATGAGTAAAGTTATTTTGTGCCTATAGCATGCTTCTTTCAGATTTCAATACCTAAAATGCCATGATAGTAAATATCTTGTTTTAAACATTGCTGAGACTCGAACCCAGTTCTGTTGCTCCCTAAATTTTCACAATAAAAACGTGTTTGTGGAAACACACATTTAATAATTGGATGCTTCATTTGGATGGTGACATTTGTCCTAATAATGGCCATTTAATTTGGCACATTGAACGTGGTGATTATATTCAATTGGCATCGGTTCGTTTTGACTGATTGTATTCTTTATTCTGGCTTTTGAGATCGAGAGTGCTCTAAAGAGTTTGACTCTCGCTGGCTAGGGTTTCAAATCAATTTTCTTTCTCTTGAACATCTCAATCGAGACTGTGGTCTGATGTTCAACCTTTAATACTTGTATTTCTTGAATGAAAATAGTAAGAACGAGAGGGTTCTTTTGCTGTAATTTTATGGAAAGCGATCTGAGGTTTCTTGTGTAATTTTCATCAGATCTTGTTCGTTATTATGGAAGAGATGTCTCTGGAGCCATATCTGTATATTGGTTAAACTTCATAACTTTTTGTTGCTAGTTTTGAGGTTTTATGGTGCAATTGAACGATATCCACTTTAATGAATGCTTGACATTGGATTAGGTGTTGTCACGAATTTTGGGGCTTCGGCTGAAAAATTCTTTTTGTTCAATCTTTAATTTTTGCAAGTTTATATTTTGTTATATTAAAGATTGATTGTATCTTGAAGTTCAATATTGTGTATCTGGGCCTTTCGAGTGGTATCAGTGCTTCAACTAAAAACGGGATATCTAGATCTTTGTAGAAAGACACTGATATGTGGCATATCTAAAATTTATGGAATTGCTGTTGAGTAGAATTGAAGGACATTGAGTTTTTATAAAAATTCACTGGATGAGATCTTTTAATTTCCGTAAAGTTTACCTTTCAAAAATTAGGGTTTCATTTTTTTCCCTTTGATCGTATATTGAAACTCCCTAAAAACTAATCTTTGTCCAAAGGCTCTTACGAGGTCTTATGAATCTGAGAGAAATGTAGTATGGATGTATATTTGGAGGACCTTGAAGGAGAAATTTCTAAAACATAGTTTCCGTGATCTTCGATATTGTGTTCTTCATTTGGCATGCTCTGCATGCTCTTTCTGTGTTAAAACTTGTGAAATCATGTACTAATATGTTACTGTGATATGTGATTAATACTTGTCTAAGTTCCCTGTTATTGTCCGTGTCATCTTGACTCATACCTGTGCATCCTGTCTTATAATAAAAATGGCTTCTGTTAAGTTTGAAGCTGCACAATTTGACAGAAAATGTGATTTTAATACACGGAGTCAAAAGATACGAGCTATCCTAATTCAAATGAGATGTGTTAGGCCTTAGATGATAGTTGGCCTCCCGACATGCTTCCTGCAAAGAAAACTAAACTTGAAAACGTTGTCTGGAGTACTACTTTTCTTATACTTATCTAACAATGTGATAATAACTGTTGGTGAAATCAAAATTGCTTATCAACTTTGGACCAATATGTGACTAAGACTATCTCAAACAAATGTTATTTGTTAAAACAATTATTTAATTTTAAAATGGATCCCCTAGTTGATTTGGATGACAACTTGACTAGATCTACAAAATAGACCCAAGACATAGCCAACTGTGATGAAAAATCTTTCAAAAGATCAGCTGACCGTGATCCTATTGAACTCCATTAGTGATAGATATAGAGATATTAAAATTGCGTTAGAATATGGGAGAACAGAACTTATTATTGATGTAATTATAAATGCCCTAAGGAATAAAGTTCTAGAAATTAAATTTGAATTGATGACACTTTGCTGATAAGAGGAAGCGGTTCTGATAAATCTAATTATCGTTCTAAGACCTTTAATGAAAACAAAACTGAAGGGAGTGACAGGAGTAAGTCCAAAAACAAGGCTAAAGGTAACAAATGTTTCAATCGTGGGAAACTCGGATATTTTATTAAAGATTGTTACAAAAAGAAAAATGAATCAAAAGAGAAGAAATTTGTTGATGGATGGGAATGCTACCTTAGTTTATAATAAAGATAAGACTGAAGATGGGTTGGTTCTAATTAATGTTGAAAAGAAGCTTAGTAATGAATAAATCATTGATTCAAGTCGTTCTTTCCACATGTGCCCCAATAAAAATTGTTTTCTTGAATTTGAAAAAACAACTAGTGGACATGTTATAATGAGTAATAATATGACCTGTAAAGTAGACTAAGAACTATAAAATTGTTGCTTGAAAGTTAAAAATGATAATATCTTAATTTTGAACGTCACATTACTTTAAGAAATTAAAGAAAATTATTGAAACAAGGGGTTAAAATCAGATTTTTAGATATTATGATAAAAGTTGATGAAATGTGTGGTAGATTCCTTTTGAAAATTTACTAAGTTCCTGTTTCGCATAATTTTTTTTTTTTTGAAAAGAATAAGTTTTGAATAGTAAATTTTAGGAAAATGTGTGATTAAAAATAAGAAAAAAATTTGGATGATATGAAAAATATTTTATTATGTGAATGTATAGTTAAAAATGAATACGGGAAAGCAAGAATGGTAAATAATGATTCTCAAACAAGGTTATTACTTAACACATATTTTAGTTAATATATGAATATATCAAAGAAATTTATGAAAAAAAGTAGAAGAAAAATTAGATAACAAAAGGTTGTACCTTCTGCAACAAGACTTGTTCTCTGCTTCTGCCATAATTTGTGTGTTTCCGAGGTAGTGTCTGCTCATTGAGTGGCGAGTCATGAGTTGTCTACAACTCACTCCCCAACCCTTTCTTCTCCGGACTCACCCAAAACTCAGAACGGCGGCGTTTCGATCGAACTCACACAGACTCGGCGTTCATCTCAAGCCCCCTTTACACTGTTTCTTCCCCACGGTCTCTTGTTCATTGAACATGCCGTCAGAGAATACTGATGCAGAAAAGCCGGCGTTTATTCATTCCTCACAAAACGCCGACGTTTTATCCGACTCAGTGTCACAAAATGAATCCCTGAATTCCGAAGTGAGAATTCCAAGTGTTCCAGCTAATATAATTCCAGCTCCCAAATCGAGTTTGAGTGACAAAGCTTTCTTTCTACTGGCATTCATCGCTTGCACGGTACAAAATATTTCTTTTTTTTTTTCCTTAATCTTAAATTAATAAAACTTTCAATTTCTAAAAATTAAACAATTTTTTTTTTCAGATAATTTTTCTATGAATAACTTTTATTAAATTTGACAATGAATGTTAACACATGCAGACTTCCGTTGCATTCACGAGCTTTGTAGTTGCAGCTGTTCCGACATTATATGTAAGTTATTCTGAATTCTATTTTTCCATTTTTTAACTCTGTACCAATTAGATGGAGTTCAGTTATGTTCTAATATGCTTCTGGATTCAAGTGCATTAATGAAATTTATGGTTTCTATACTCGGGTATAAAGAAGGGCACCATCCACACGTGTAAACATGTTGAGATGGATTAGAAAAAAAAAATAAAAAAAAATTGAACAATAACAGTAAGATAAACTTGATTCTCAATGAGGTGGCTATCTTCCAGCTTGGATGTTCGTTTTTCTTATGTTTACCTCACCCCAACGGCAACCTATCCCAAAATAATTGACACTCTAGAGAAGGAGCCGAATAAGAACCAAACCGGTCCAGTGAGGCCTGGAGGTTTACTGACTTTCTTTGTGCTGCAGGCAATGGGAAGGGCTGCAATCTCTCTTTCAAAATTGGCTGATACTGCTCGTGAGGAGCTCCCCAGCACAATGGCTGCAATCAGGCTTTCTAGCATGGAAATAAGTGATCTCACTCTAGAATTGAGTGACTTAAGGTAACAAGTTAAGCGATTAGTAACATTTTATTTTCATTATGTCCATTATGAGGAATGTTTTCAGCCTTTGTTATTACATTCATCATAGAAGTGGGAGTCCTTTTCAGGAGAAAAATAATCTCGAAGAATACGAATAAACAAATTTGAGTTAAAAAAATAAGTAGGCTTTTACTCGTGTGACAAAAGATGAAAGAATACATAATTTATATATCACCCAATGCCTTGAAAGCTTTTGGGAGGTTAGTTTTTTTTGAATAATTCATGATCATGGATTTGAAATCCTAAATGCCTAATGTAAAAGCTGTGGGCAATGGCAATGAGCACGGCAACTTCTCATTCCAAAAGACATTGTTATGAGTAATAATATATTATTCTACTTTTTCTTTTAATCTATCACTATACACGCAATTTCCTGCATTTTAATATTTTAAATGCACTTTAGTCTCTTCTGGTATGCTAAAATAGACTACCTTTAGTGGTCCAGGACCTGTGTAGTTGATAAATGAAGTTCTGATCGTGAGTGCCTACTCAGTTATAATACAGCAAGTCTGCTGGTGGAATGATTACCTTTCCAGGCAGATATCAAATAGACTAAATTAGAATATGAAGAAATACAAAGCAAGACAAGAAGGCACAAATGCACGTAGAAATAAATTTTCAGCTGCAAAAATGACAATAAGGACTTCTATGCTAGATGTATTAGCTTTAACAACAGTTCTATGTGTAGAGAAATTTGTTGCTTCCCAAATAATATTAGATGTCTTTCATTTTGGCCAAACTTGTAGAATCACATGTAAGTCTAGCTGAACCCCGCAGAGCCTTAAATTTGGCATCAAATCATACCATTGTTTTGCTCGATCATTTATTTCCTTATTGTTTTAATGATCGGTGGTTTTGATTCAAGTATCTAGGTGTGCAGTTTTTGTGGCGAGAGGTTGGCTGAGAATATGTCATTGATACTTCTGTGGAGTCCACGCTAGCATAGTTGGTCCTTACAAAGATAGTAGTTAAACCTCCAGCTGTATTATATGAGTTTCAGAATTTGTTGCATTTAAGCTGGGGAAAAGCACAGTCAAGCTGGTTATCTGCTTGAAATACACACATCTATTGGCCGGAAAAACAGGAGGAGGAAGTGACTTAAGAAGATGTCTGGCTAAGCTTAAAGCATGTTTTGGAAGTGTTTATAAATGGTTTAATATTATGTATAGATAGAAATGAATGGTAGATAAGTCGGTAGCACTTGTTGGTTCCTTAAAATGCGTGGATAAAAAATTGTTGAGTGTTTATAAACCATTTGTAAACATGAGCTGAACATCGGATTAAAATAAATGAACTTTTAAGTTAGCATTTATTTCCAAACATATGTTGATATGTTGGTTTTTTCTTTCTTTTAGGAAAAGACATTTCTTATTTTGATTCTTTGAAGTGATTCTTACCTTTCTAGCAAAATAAGTAACTTATTCGTTCCAATTTCAACCAATAAAAATGTTAAATTATTTTACTTATTTACTTATAAGTTTTGTGAAACATGCTCTTACTACTCCCGTATGGAAAACTTTCTCTCCTTGTCATTTCAATGTATCAACATTAATTAATTGAAGCTATCATCTTACATCGCTTGAAATTGATGTTCTTTAATGTGATTCTCAGCCAAGAAATAGTGGATGGGGTTGGCAAATCTGCTCAAGCAGTGCAAGCAGCAGAAGCTGGAGTTCGGCAAATAGGTTCCCTTGCTCGTCAACAGACAATGTGTACGAATTCTTTCTTCAATTTTCTATTTATCCAACACCCCCTCCAGCTTTATTTTCTCTTCTGTGCGAAATGGATTATAATTAATGTCTTTAACAGCGATGATTCAGGAGAGAGCAAACTTGCCAACTATCTCACTGAAACCAGTTGTTGCTGGGGCTGCGAAGAAGACTACTCGTGCTGTCGGCCAAGCTACCAAAAGTATCATGAATATGATATCTGGAGGTGAGCTTAACTCCGGGGATGATGATGGTAATAAAGTGGATAGTTAAATTCACGACATTCTCATATTCTAATGGAAGATTCAATATTATTTTGATAGTTAGAATGCTATTATGGTAGATAATTGGAATGTGAGTGTGAATTCTCTTTCACTGATGACAAATAATGCAAACACATCGTATCTGATTCCTTGCCAAAAAAGGTAGATTCTTGATCTTTATGGGTGATTTATTTGAACTTCTGCAGTATAAGATTAATGTTTCTAACCAAAATAACTAGGTGGACAGTGGACTCGGACAATAATGTTTGAAATTAAAACTTGGACGTGTTAAGATGTGTTGAGCCTCTCTAAGACTCATGGCTCACTCGAGCTATACAGAATGGCTCGGGTAGGCTTTATATGGAAATGTAACCAAATAATTGTA